TGGAAAGGGTCAGGAACTTTTTTGAACGGAAAAAGGTTGCGTTTTTGGTTCTATAGACTTCAATGGGACCGCTGCAGAAAAGCATGTATTGCGTTTTTGCAGCGTTTTTGATCCGTCTAAAATCTGCCTAGCAACAAGAAAAAAAACCCCGAAACCCCCCCCCCCCCCCCCCATCAAAGAAAATGCATGAAAAATGCATGTACGCAATGCAGAAGCGTCTCAAACACAACCAGCATAGGTGTGAACCTAGACTTAAGCTGGCCATAGATGGATCGAGTCTTGGCAGGTACAGCAGGGACCAGCTGAGATTCGATCCATGTATGGGCAGGCTGGTTGTACTGAAGTCGATCCATTGATTGACTTCAGCAAAACCAGCCTGTTGGATTTGTTTTTCATAGATCTTTGCTGGGGGATATAGCTGCCAGCACTGATCATTGTATTCTGCCGGCAGAACACAACAGTGCTGCGGTAGGGATGGTGGAAGGAAAGCAAGTTGCATAACCTATGGGTGCTTTACTGTCTTCCGATGCCTTGTTCTGCACTGTGTCTCTGTGTAGAGGTGGATATCTAGGTCAAGGGACTCAGAACTGCCCCTCAGACAACTGGTGATTTGCTAACTGGTAAGGTAATGAAAAAGAAGCAGAAGGAAAGGTGCAGAATGAACAGATCCTCAGCATGGATGAAGCAGAAGCAGGGAGGTCCTTGTACTGCAGGTCCTCAGGTCCAGCTTCCTCTCCAGCAAAGCAGAACAGTGAGCAGCACAGGTGAGACCGCCAAACCTCCTTCCAAGTCTGGGAAGACCAGCAGTGCATTAGATGATCTCACATGGCAGATATACAGCTGTCAGGCTCAAGGCACAGGAGTGCCTAGGCACAGTAACATTCACTGCCTCTGTTTTTTTTCTTAGAAGGCATTCAATACAAGAAGGAAAATATTTCCGTGTACTGCTTGAGCACCATATTTCAAGATGTTCCCAATAAAACAGCAAACCTTCACATTTTGAGCTGAGCTTCTTTTAAAGGCTAACTCCACCTTTTGAAGCATGTTACACCCCCATCTCCTGCAAACGTATGTGCATCCATTTTTCTTTAACCCCTTCCCGCTGACCACCTCCTGGCCCTTTAGGAGTTCTAAAAGCCGGGAGGCAGAGACAGGCATGTGGGTCAGCCAATCACAGCAGTCACATGATCAGAATTGTTCCTGATCGCAAGTATGCATCTTGAAGCTTACTGATCCCGGTCAGCCAATATTGCAGGGAGTGCACTCTAAGCACAGTAAGTTGTTTACACAGGGCCACATATATGCGACTGCTGGTCATTAAGGCCTAACCCCCCAGGGGCCGCATACATTCGTATGGCTGGCGGGAACTGGTTAAAAGGTGGACTTAGCCCTTAGCCCCTTCCCGTCCAGCCCTGGCATGCCAATAGGGTCTCCTGAAAAGCAGAAGGACTGACCAATCACTTGACCGCAGTGCTGATCACCAGCAGAGACCAAAAGTGGTCTTTGACACCTTGCTCACTGGGACAGGCCAATCACTTGACCGCAGTACTGATCACCAGCAGAGACCGTAAGTGGTCTTTGACACCTTGCTCACTGGGACAGGCCAATCACTTGACCGCAGTACTGATCACCAGCAGAGACCGTAAGTGGTCTTTGACACCTTGCTCACTGGGCTGGCCAATCACTTGACCGCAGTGCTGATCACCAGCAGAGACCGTAAGTGGTCTTTGACACCTTGCTCACTGGGCTGGCCAATCACTTGACTGCAGTGCTGATCACCGGCAGAGACCATAAGTGGCCTTTGACACCTTGCTCACTGGGAAAGACCGATCACTTGACCGCAGTACTGATCACCAGCAGAGACCGTAAGTGGTCTTTGACACCTTGCTCACTGGGAAAGGCCGATCACTTGACCGCAGTGCTGATCACCAGCAGAGACCGTAAGTGGTCTTTGACACCTTGCTCACTGGGACTGGCCAATCACTTGACCGCAGTGCTGATCACCAGCAGAGACCGTAAGTGGTCATTGACACCTTGCTCACTGGGACAGACCAATCACTTGACCGCAGTGCTGATCACCAGCAGAGACCATGAGCCTTGCTTACAGTGGTGGGGCCACGCTCTTAGTATAGAAAGCTCTGCCATCCATAGATGCACATGTGCATTGTGCGGAATAAAAGCTCGCCCTCTTTGCGGCCACACATATGCATTACATGGGCGGCAGGAAGATAAACAAAGACAGACATCTTCAACATTACCGTGGCCTGGATGCAGGAGAACCTTCATCCACATACTGCGCACAATGGGAAACTTTGACAGTTAACGGGAGCTGTAGACTGACCAAGGGCGGGTCACAGGCAAAAATGTGTTGAATTCTTGTATACTGCAAGAGCCTGTGCGGCCATTCGTCATCGAAAGTGCTAATAAATACTAGTTATAAGCCTGATAAAGTAGAACTAAAATACAAAACTTTTTTTTTTTTTATTTGGATGGAGTGGAGATGTTGTAGAATACCTGTCGGGTTTTATTGTTGTCTGTGCCCCCATTAGGGAGATTCACCCTCTCTATTTGTCCTGTTTACAGTTACCACCAAGAGTGAAAGCAAAAGAAAATCCCACATTTTGGGTTGTCACCAAGAGGAAATCTTCCAATGGGGGGACACTATCTCTGGTGACCCCCATGGGATTCCCTTAATTTGTAGGGATTTCCTCTCACATCCTGTTTTAAGTTATGGGATAGAAAGCGAAGGGAAACCTCCTTTCACCCAAAAAAAAAAAAATCTGGTTACAACCCTCATCCAAAATGACGTATAGTTGCCTGCAGTTCAACTTTAATTGCCCCAGTGTATCTAAAATCAATTCTTATTTTTAGCTTTGGATAGGAAGGGAAAGGGTTACAAACCCCATCAGGTTTTTTTTTTGCCTCCCTATTGGTTAGATTGGGACTAAAGATGGGAAAATCCACACATTCCTGTGAAATATCACAGGATCAGGAATAGAGGGGAAATATTTTTAAGGAAAATTGGTGACAACTAATAGGACTCACCTGACTTTAGAGACACTTCCAGATTTGTCTACAAGACCTGAATTAATGATAAAGCTCCCCAATTGGGCACAGACAAAAAAAAACCCCCCCAAAAAACAAAAAAAAACTGACAGGGATTTTTACCGTTCCGTACCCTATCCAAAACTACAAAAAATGTGGTAAAACATATATTTTAATAAATTATGTGTGACTCCATATTACATGCAAAACAAGCCCCTCAGACAAGTAGAACTTTCCGTATATCATAAGGCATGGCATTAAAAACTGTACAGCAGCGCAATTCCTATAGACGCAGTGATGGAACGCAGCCTAACAATTCGCATATTTTTTTTTTTCAAAAATTTCCAGCTTCAGTGGCCAGTCCAATATAGAAAAAAAAATAGTTAAAAAAGCATTTTTTTTTTTTTTTTGTCCTGGCTGGTCTTTTGAAAATCTTGGTAGCTGGGACACCAGGGATTCACAATAGTGCAATATTCCCCTACCTGCCCCCCACCGGGCAGAGTACAGGTCTTTTACAGGGATCTCAGATCTGTGCATTAAACCTCCTGCTGGAGCGAACAAAATGGAAAAAAAAAAAAAAAATACAGGACTCTCATCTGAGTACTCCACAACAAACTGTGAAAAAAAGCAAAAAAAAAACCCCCAAAAAAAGCAAAAAAAAAAGCAAACAAAAAAGCGCTGACTCCCCCACCCCCCAAACAATGTGAAATATTTTTTCATGAACTGTTAAAAAAAAAAAAAAAAAAAAAAAAAAAAAAGAAAATTATATTATATATATATATAATATATATATATATATATGAATATATATATATATATATATGAATATATATATATATATGAATAATATATATATATATATGAATATATATATATATGAATATATATATATATATATATATATATATATATATATATATGTGAATATATATATGTGAATATATATATGTGAATATATATATGTGAATATATATATGTGAATATATATATGTGAATATATATATAAATATATATATATATATATATATATATATATATATATATATATATATATATAATATATATATATATATATGAATATATATATATATGAATATATATATATATATATATATATATATATATATATATATATATATATATGAAAGTGCATGAAACAAAACCATTCAATTCAGTTCTTCAGCTGCCTGTGATGCTCATGTGACCCTCCCCTGCCACAAATGTACAGAAAATATATATTTATATACACACAGCCCTATATATATATATTTTTTTTTATATATATATATATTTATATGCGTTTATATACACTCACACTTGGACACGCTCACTGGCGTCCGCACAGTTATACATACACCCACATGCAAATTATAATGTGTGCCCCATACAAGAATTTATTTTTTTTTTCACATTTTTTTTTTCTGTGCACGCATGTATAGGTTGTATAGGTTGTATACTCACACGTATGTGCACATATAAGTAAAATTTCACGGTGTGTATATGCATGTGTCTGGGTTATGTCCCGGTTTTCTTGTATACTGGAAAGAACGTGCATAAATATATAAACATATATGTACAGATAAAGCCTATGTACATAGGACGGCCTGTGCGTTTTAGACACCTGCTGTTGGGAGGCACAGGGCTGCACCAAGAGTAGTCTGGGAGCGGGGCCCTTAAAGAGTGATGCCACACGGACTCCTGGACTGTCGAAGACAAGGTGTGGTGACCTTAGCACATGCTAACCGGATTATTTACATCTGTACATACATGCATGCATTCACATAAACTTACAACCGTTCACATGCAACATCTATAGGATAAAGTCACGCTCGTTCACACGCTCTCTTTCATGCACTAGGCTGGGGAGTGGCGCCTTCTGGCGGGCGGGCGGACTCCCTCCATCCGGCAATGTGCGGGTTTCCAGCAGCGGGCTCCGGAGATGGGGGCGGGAAGGCTATTTGGCCAGCCCCCGCTTCTGTAAACACTCCAGATCTTGAGTCTGCTTTAATTCCTTCATCCTAGAAGACAAAAGTAGAAATAGGAGGTTCAGAAGGGAGGGAAGGAGACATTGTATGCAGGGTCCTTGGATGACCATGCTGCCCTCCTAAGGCAAGTCACTCTAATGGGAACATTAATTTTACATTGCCCCCTCTATTTCTGGCTGTGGATCATTGCACTGTAATTATTTTAATTAAAAAAAAAAATCTAAGTACCTTTTTCCTAATTGATATATAGCTGTCACATGACCCAGCTCTTTCCCAGCCTGTCTGCAGAGAAACAGTGGCAGGAGGAGCTTCTAGTCCTCTGCTGCTGGTCACATGTTAAAATTAAATATAGAGTAAAAATAAATAATATCAAACTGTTTTACATTGTAATACAGATATATACAGTGGGGATCGAAAGTTTGGGCACCCCAGCTAAAAATTTGTATTAATGTGCATAAAGAACTATTTTCAGTTTCAGTTTTCTAGACAACTGCTTAGAAGAACCCATGGTGCTGATTGTTGGGGCAAGGTCAGATGAGTCTGGGCATTTAAAAACCTTTGAGATTGACATCACCTGGTCTTCCCAGACGATGATTGAGAACAATTCATCACACTGGCAGGTCTCAGCTTTGCAAAGGGGGCAGTGCATGCTATAAATTCTGCAGGGTGCCCAAACTTTTGCAGACGCCATTTTTTTCTTTTCTGTTATTTTGAAAGTGTAAATGATGGAAATAAAATCTAACTTTTGTTGACATATTATAAGAATGTCTGATCTGTAATTTGATGCCTTTTGGAGATTTCTCCATCTTTCCTTGGCTTCTTTATGCACATTAATACAAATTTTTAGCTGGGGTGCCCAGACTTTCGATCCCCACTGTATTTGAAGTCAAATCTTAATTTTTTTTGGCAATAACATGGTGTAGGCAGATTTCTGCCAGTCACAGGCTGTGTCACGCCCCTCCAACCTGTGCCTTAGAATAAGATGGAGGTGAAGCCTCCATCAATCTACATGTAATATCCCACCTCCATTATGTTTAGCTGGTTACTGGGCATGGAGGAAGAGGGTGGGCTGTCATTTACCACTGTGTATACACCCACTTGTGTGACTCTATAGTCACATGGGCTGCTCAGATGTAATAGGGAGGAAATGCTCAGCAATGCTCACTGAAAACTGAGCATGTGCAGAGCTGCCAACACTGCTCTTCAAAATCCCTAGCTGCATTGGGGACATGGACAGAAGGGGGAGACAGAGAACAGCGGGATCAACCAGATTTTTTAGCTAAATACAGAAATGAATCCCATAGTGACTGAATGAGTATGAACAGCATGTAGTACAGCATTTATTGATTTTTTTTTTTTTTTTTTTTTTATGATAGGGGTTTAGTGGCAATTTAAATGTACTTTCTCTGAAAAATTAGAATTTTTGGTTTCTTTATATCCAGAACTATGGGGTTATGCTGCCACCCACAGCAGAATGGATAGTGGCCAAAAAAGTAAAAAAAAAAAACCCAAAAAAACCAAAAAACACAGGCTCCCTGCCCATTCATATCTCCTCCCAGCACAGCCTCAGTTTTGTAGCAACCAATGAGAAACCACACAAGACACAAGGGGGGAGGGGAGATCCCTGTGTCCTGTCATGTACTCCAAGAAAAGGATTTTACAGGTAAACCAAAAATCCATCCAACATTTCTTAATTGTACAATTTCTCGCAGGGTTTCTCATAAGACTACTTGAGATGCTCCAAAGCTGAGAACAAGAGGGCCAAGCATGAAGCCCAAATGTTAAAATCCAAATGCAAACAAAGTAAGAAATGCTACTAAAGAGCCATCTGCAGGACATTCCACTCAAAACCGGCATCCATAGAGACGAAAATATCTGCCTGGTAACAGTTAGTAAACCTATAAACAGAAGGTCAGTTAGTAGTACCAACCTTACAAACTAGAATACAAACCTTACAAACTAGAATACAAACCTTACAAACTAGAATAGTTGAAGTTTGATGCTAAAACGCCTAGTATTTATACTCCAAGTAGCATGGGGCCTTGACCAGCAAAGGGGGGACCTTGTCCTTAATGCCATAGGCCGAGTTCCTGAATCAACCAAGAAATAGTGGAGCAGAAGGCATACTGCTAGACAGGTAGTTCGATTTGTTTGCAGGCTGGCTGGCTGGCAAGTGTGAGCTGGGAATTTTTCTTTTTTTGTGGTTTTACATGCGTCGCCCTTCCATGTGCTCCTTGCAGTGAAGGCCAGTTATAGACTGGGGCAGCGGCCATTTTTTGTACTGTTGAATTGTTGGTGAGGGGGAGTACTGGACACCTTAGCTGCCATTGGGCTACACGCTGGGTGTCCAGAGCGCTCCTGTACCTTTAAGGAGGGGGGGGGGGGGGGGGGGGCTCCCTCAGGTCCACCTGCCCTTGGTCTATCCATTAAATACATGTGCCTCTATTATGGGGGCTCTTAACATTTGTAGAGTTAGGACTACAGAATATCGGGGTGCCATGACGAGGCTCTGTAGGTTATGTATGTATTTGCAAATGTGTGCTAACTAAACCCGTTTTTAACCCCTTGGCGCCGATGCCTCCTGGCCCTTTAAGGGTTTCAGAAACTGGGAGGCAGGGCGGGGTTTGGGGTCATGTGACCACCGTGACATGATCGGGAAAGGTCCCAATCGAAAGAGGAGATTGGGATCTTTCCGTGAGTACCGGACATGTGTGCTGGGAACACGTAGGGCGCGTGCTCTCAGCACATATGTTTTTTTTAATAGAACGCATACTGTTAGGCTAATTCGGTTTGTTTGCAGGCTGGTTGGCAAATGTGAGCTGGGAACTTTTCTCTTTTGCTGTTTGACATGCGTCGCCCGTCCATGTGCTCCTTGCTGTGAAGGCCGGTTATAGACTGGGGCAGTGGCCGTTTTTTGTATTGGAGCGGGAGGCAGCCTGTCCCTTAGAAGAACCTTCAGGTAAATCAAACAGGAAATAAACCCCACACACCAAAGGAGTAAAGATCCTTCCCCCTTGGGGTGTGTGTGGGATTAGGACAAAAAGATGGTGACACAATGTTCTAATTCAGGTGGAAGGAAGACACCACCTTAGGCAAAAAAAAGAAGTCCAGCTCCTCAACACTACCTTATCTCTAAAAGGACCAGAAAAAGGTTCCTAGCAACAGAGCGCAGCCAGCTCTGACTCCCTGCAAGCCAAATTAATAGCCACCAATAAACACCACCTTCCACGTAAGAAGCGCCAAAAGTATCTCTCAAATGGGTTTAAACAGAACATGCTGTAAAACGGACAAAACCACAATAAAGTCCCATGGAGGCACTGGACAGGCAAAACAATCCATGTGACCCCTTGTACAAAAGCCTTTACCCAGGAATTACCTCTCTGGAACAGAACGGCCAAGGCCAAAATCTGCCCCTTGATAGTACTCAAAGCCAGACCAATGTGCCTCACAACATACTACCAAGGATGAAACCTTCGAGTCTCACACCAGGCAAAATAAGCCTTCTAAGTAGAACGACATACCTTCCTGGAGGTCAACTTCCTTCCCCTGAGCAGGGTAGTAATAACAGAGTCAGAAACACCCTGGTCCTTTAGGACTTGGGCCTTAACACCCAGGACAACAAAGCCAGTGACCATAACGCAGGCTGAAATATCGGTCCCCGGGAGAGCAATCAGTAAGAGCTTGTGACTCAGCCAACAGATGGAAAATATCCAGATACCACATTCTATGAGGCCCAACTAGAGCGGTAAGAATCACAGACACATGCTCTTTATCCTGCACAGAAGATCAATTGCAGAAAACGTTCAGTTAACAGAAAACTGATATATAACCAAATATTCTCGTGATCAGACCTCAAGTGTGAACGTTGCGGTGCTGCAAAGAATTCTCTCAAATATATAGAAAAAGAGGGGCACCGCGCAACACAGCAACCAAATAGCTCAAATATAAAGTATCCAATAAAAATAAATCATAACAGTGCTTATGAATGAATTCTCCTCAAGTCCATGACAAACCAAAGACTTCCGCCTCTATGTCCAACTCGATAGGTGAAAGGACAAATCCATACGTGTGACCACCACCACCACACAGAAGGACCTTCGCTCGCCTTAAAGGATGGACCTCAAATCATAAAAGGTCTACAGCACATAGTCTCTTCTAAGGCCGGGACAAGCTCTGATAAATGATCACGGATTCCTCCGTTTCCTCCATACATAAAATGTAAATGACGCTCAAAGAGAAGAAAAGAAACTCCAGAGTGTTCTCAGTTTCAATAAAAATAACCATAAAACCTTTATTGTAACGCATTCACAAATAAAATTCCAAAAGGCACACTTAATAAACCAGAGAGGAGGGACAGCTCACACCACATTTGTATACAATGCCCGGGGTCCAGCGTTTGAAGACCCTCAGATGATAATGCTGCTGCTCTCCTGCTCTACTGGGTAAAATGAAAGTGAAGTGTCTTGGAGCTCCGCCCAACGCGTTACGTCATTGATTTCTTCAGGGGCCCTGAAGAATAGAGAAAACTGATCCCAAGTCAGTCACCGGGGCAATCACCTTAACCCCCCTGGCGGTATTCCCGAGTGTAGCTCGGGGTAAAGTTTCAGTACCAGAAGCGGTAACCCCCCCGAGCTACACTCGGGCTTACCATGCGGCGCTGCTCCGCAATCCCTCGGTCACTTACCTTGTCCTGCGCTCCCGCGATGTCCCCCCTGCAGTGTCCCCAGCAATGTCCTCCGGTGGATGCCAGCATCTGTCTTCTGGGTTCCATCCCGTGACGTCAGGACGTGCGGGGAACGGAGCCGGCGGGAAATTTGAAAATGACAAAAAGTGACATTCACTAAATACACTAAAATCACATAGTATAACATTCCTGTATCAAACCATTTCACATACATTGTGTCCCGAGTGCTTTGTCCGGCGCCCTGCCTGCATTTTTACTGTTCTTTCTACCTGGAAACTGCCTGGAAAAAAAAAACAAACGCTTTAAAGTGGAGCTCCACCCAAAAAGGGAAGTTCCGCTTTAAGGACTG